TCTTCACTTTTCACCTACACTGAAAGCAGAAGACATGATGAAAAACATCATGGAAGATTAGGAAATGTGATTAATTTAGTAACAAGGCATCATAACCCTGATTAAGTTTATCAATAGGATCCTACAACTTAGTAGGATCACTTGTTCACTGAACCAGCGAGCTCCTTTCAGGCAGCTGTTGGTCCAGGTTAAATCTGAGGTTGAATGCACCCACAGCGCAGATGCTAAACCCCTCACTGCTCTCTCACAGCCCAGAGCGCTGGGTCATCTCAGACACAAGCAGCACAGGCAAATGTACCTATGTTTCACCTGGCTCATCTTTATTATTCCCCACTGGAATACAAAGTCCTTTTCAGTTCTGAACAATACATAAAGTTTAAAAAACCTCTCACAGTTCTCCATGATTTCAAATACAGGTTCTCCTCCCCCTTCTTCTTTCTTTTTCTCCTCTAAAATGCAGAAATGCACAAGTATTAACATAATTAAATGAGGGAGCTGGGCTAATAGGACTGATTTGGTCTAGAAGAAAAGCGTGTAATTAGAGTGCCAAGTAACAGTACTATCAGTGGTGACACGATGCTTGGAGCACCAACGGGACATTCAATATGACAACGTAAAGGCTCTGAATTTCTGCTGGTGACAAAACCGCCTGTGCACATGGAGGAGGTGGAAGAGCCAGCCTCCCACACAATGTGCTTAAATGTCCTACCTTTTCCTCGCCCCCAGGGCTGGCTCTGCCAGCCATCCCATTGCTAGGGATGAAGATAACAAGCCATTGTCAAGGGCAACAGCAAAGCTGCTTGTTTCACATTAGCATCCTTAACATTTTCTATCTAATCAGATTTCCTGTTGGTTGAGGAAAGCTGCCTTTCCTCATTACCAGCTGCTATCCCAGATTCCCCTCTCCCCATCCCCTATACGTGTTTTGCCATGCTTGTCTGCTTTTCTGTGTAAAAAGGTTATGTATGCCTGGAGGGAGACTAAATGTTACGGGGGGGGGGAGGGAAAAAAAAGGCAAAAAGCCCCACATGAAAACAGAACTGTGGGCAAGAGGCCAAGACTCTCGATTATATGACTGTGACTAACCAATGGGTGTTTTTAAAAAACACTTCTCTCATTATATTCCCTCCTCTGGATGTAATAATACAACTCAAATTAGTTTTCCAGGAGCAGACTTCTTTTTATGTAACCATGTTTTATACAGATAGCAGCAGCTTATGTTTAAACTATTTAAGAGAACAAATAGCTGCAAAATGTACTTCAGATGGCCCTTCTCCTGCTAGCAGCGGATTCTTGGCTTGAGGGAAGCTACAAAACCACCCGGTATTTTGCTGCGTCTTGGATGTAATTGTAAACAGTGCACAATGCCCACAGGACCTAGCATCCAGGTAAGGATGTCAGGTCTGCTTGTTTTATGGCATTTGAGAGATCCACGACATTGTAAACTGGAGAATGACTTTGACAAAACAAAGCTGGAATGAAAGCAGAATAAAGCAGTAGTTCATCTTTCAACTTATCCCAAAGTTTCCCATAGCGTTAGGAAAGGCAGTATCCTATCCAAACTGCGATCCAGACTGACAGATATCTCCCTGCTGGCACTGGACCCAAATGGAAATTTCCACATTTTAGGATTATAATACTGTTGTGATTTCCTATTGTTCTTCCCCCTTCCTTCCACATCTACCACTTAAAAAAAGACTGTCCTTGCTATGGTTGCTGAACCAAGGACCTTCTATGTGTCCTCCAGGTTGACATCAAATATACTGGCCCTGGGCCTACACCTTCACAGAGTATTTGAGGCATACGGGTGCTGTGAAAAATGGGAACATTGCAAGCAGGCAGGTAGAGTGTCACAAAAAGAAGAAATCAAGACAGGTTAATTTAAGAAACATGGATCTAATTTTCTCATTCCTTCTTCTCTTGCTTTCAGAAATGGGCTTGAGATAGGAGAATGATGCACCACCCGGTTCAGATACCAGGATGAGGTGGTATTTAAGTCTTTCAGCAGTAGCAGAGCATTCCCCAAACACCCTTACAAAAAGCCAGGAAAATCTTTTACCTGGTGTCATCATACATGCCCAGGGGGTTCAAATCCTGAACTGTTAAATGAGGCACCCCAAGGATGAACCCTGTATGAAAGTGGTTAAAAGTGCAGAGAAAAAATCTAAATGAAATAGTTAGACAAAGTATTGCAAAGTTAGAAACATGCAGGATTTACTATGTGTTCCCATGTCATTACTCAGCGGATGAAAAAGGTACATTTTTATTCTCTCTGCAGAGTCTTTCAAGTCTGCAGTTTTCCATAAAACTTCCATTATGACATTTTACTCAGAGAGGTTTCCTAATAGCTTCTGAGCTGCCATACTTTCCAGCACCTTCAAAAATGTGTAAATTATGCTACAGTAACAGGTTTAAACATTTATTTTCATTCATCCTCACAGCACAATTGAGCTGTTAACTGCTGGGTCCACACTAGAAGGTATTCAGGTAGGGTTTGTTCAGCCACTCCATTAACTTCAACGGACTGTTTTAGTGTTTGCACTGAAAGCACAGTTCAGAGCAATTCATATCCAAAATTTTTCAAGCTTCATGCCAACAAACCGCTGCAGATGACACACATCGGTCTTTCAGTGGGTCTAACACCGTTGCCAGGCAATTCACAGATTTTGAAGAAAAAGACCAACGCAGCCCAAGCAATTTAAGCTGCAACAGAGGCTAAAAGGACTCCTAAACTTGTATTTTCCCTCTCATGCTAGAGGCAACGTCTTTCACAGAAACACATATAGAAATCACACAACAATAAAAATTGATACCCCTTACGAATTCCCATCAACTCAGATGGTTGTGGGCTAAGTCAATATGGCCATAGCTTCTTGTGCTCTGTCTAGCAATGCAAAATTCCTGGAGGAGAGGAGGAGGGATAAAAAGGGGAAGGGGAAGAGACATTCATCCTTGTATACTGCAGTAAAAGATGAAAAGCTTTCCTCTTAGAACTAAACATTTTCAGTAAGAATGATTAACAATACCATATGCCATGGAGGAAGGAGTAACACAGCTGCTGTTGGGGAGAGAGAGAGACAGCATGTAGATTTATGGAGAATCTAAGAAGAGCAACTGTTGGCTTCCAGGCAACAATACGGCAGAACTGATGCTCCCCAGATCTTCACTTAGAGCCTGCACCTTGCAAGCTTCTCCCAGCGGATCCTGAATTCCTCAACACTGAACCAAGCCATGCCCCTGGGAGACTCACGCTCAGGAGATAAAAGGCCCAGCACAACTCCGCTTCCCTTGTTCCTCTTGAGCGTTATATGCCATTAGCGTGTAAATCGTTGATTTATTCACTGAAAATGATCAGACCTAG